TCCGAAGGAAGCCATCAGAGCGAGAAGGAGAAAGAAGAGAGACCCCCCTGATCTTCCCCTGCTTAGTGAGCAGCTGAGCCTAGATGAACTCTGGGACATGCTGGGCGAGTGTTTGAAGGAGCTCGAAGAATCCCATGATCAACATGCAGTGCTAGGTGAGCGCATGGGGCCTCCCGGGCAGTGGGCCCCGTCTTCCTTCCCTTGCTGGTCCAAGGTGTAATCTGCTCTGCTCATCCCTTCTTCCTGTTCCCCCTCCCCAGTGCTGCAGCCTGCTGTCGAAGCCTTCTTTCTGGTTCATGCCACTGAACGGGAGAGTAAGCCACCTGTTCGGGACACGCGGGAAAGCCAGCTGGCTCACATCAAGGATGAGCCACCGCCACTCTCCCCTGCTCCTTTGACCCCTGCCACCCCCTCTTCCCTGGACCCCTTCTTCTCCCGAGAGCCCTCATCTATGCACATTTCCTCCAGCCTGCCCCCAGACACACAGAAATTTCTTCGGTTTGCAGGTGAGGAGGAGAGGAGAGCTGTCCTTCCCTAGACTGCCCTTGGGAAGGATCAGTGGAGTACAGTTGATCGTGCTAGCCTGGGTTGGCCCCAAAGCTACCCTGAAGAGTCAGGCAGCAGAATCCCATGTCTCCAACTTCAGCCTGCCCTTCCTTAGTTGAGAGTTGGGAGACCAAACGGGAGGGAGGATGGACAGCCTGACATCTGAGGACCTACCCTTCTCACACACACTTCAACCCTAGCAGGGGCTTAAGCTCAAGCTTGGCCAAGGGGCATGTGCCTCCGTCACTGGGGCCTGGCCAGACTCTGCACGTGACATGTCCGTGGAGCTAGGGGAGATAGGACTCGGATCACAAGCACCCATCCTAATGCCCACTTTCTCCCCTGTCCTCAGAGACTCACCGCACTGTGCTAAATCAGATCCTACGCCAGTCCACCACCCATCTCGCAGACGGGCCCTTTGCTGTCCTAGTGGACTACATCCGCGTGCTCGACTTCGATGTTAAGCGCAAGTATGTGACGTGGTATAGAAGTGGGGGCCACTGCGGGTGCTGAGCCTGATTCTTTCCTGGGGGGACAAAAGACACGTTTGTGTCAGTCACTGTTTCATGCATACGAAGCACTTGGGCCCCTGGTAGTGAGGCTTCCTGGCCTGCACACCAGTACTGACTGTCACTGTCCAGTTTCCCAATCTGTAAAATGAAGGCGGGGGATTGAGGGGGGCGGGGGGTAGGGACACTTGGTCAGACTACATTCTAATTCTACAATTTGTCACGTAGCACGAGCCCTAGAATGCCACAACCTTGGGTAGTCAGTTATTGTGTTTCGGGTCCTGTTGGCCACCCTGGGCTTGAAGCAGATAGTTCAAGGGCCCGTGGTTGTCCTCTTCTCTCTGGGTATCCATGGGCATGATCTGAGTCTGCAGGTCTAGGCCCCGTGGGGAAGGGTTATTCCAACTCCACTGCCTGTTGCCTCACTTGAGGGAAATGTAGGGAGCAATGGTAAATGGCTGCTATGTGGGGGTGCCTGTGTGCCTTCATGCTCCCACAAATTGGGTCTTGGAATATATTCTTAAGCCCTCAACCCCCAGCTACTTGTTTGGGATTCCTGTCGCTCTGTTGTCTTAACTTAGTCCAGCCTTGCTAAGTCTGCCCACACCCCTGCCTTCCCTCCTATGTTCCCATAGGATGACCAGACTGAAGTCTTCCTCCTCCCTGTTCCCCAGGTATTTCCGCCAAGAGCTAGAGCGTCTAGATGAGGGACTCCGGAAAGAAGACATGGCTGTGCACGTCCGCCGTGACCATGTGTTTGAAGACTCCTACCGCGAGCTGCATCGAAAATCCCCAGAGGAAATGAAGAATCGATTGTGAGGGCACTGGGTGAACGGGGAGGAAAAAATGCGCTCACCTCACCTCTTCTTCCCCCCCCCCCC